TTGAAAACTAGTTATGAATAATAGACCAATGAGTCCTTGACCCTGCATAAACATTTAATGCCCACGCTAGCTTCAAATCTATCATCTTCAGTACAAAGTTATATCTCAGCAGCTATGAGTTTTTTCACAGAATACTATTAGTTCATATTATGATAAAAATAGCATGAAACTCCACTGAAATGCAAATATGAATTTGAAACAAAAATTTTGAAAGACATTCCTTTTATTTCATGATACAATATGCATCTAACATTATACATACAAAAGAGAAAGGTTAAAATTCAAAAGCATGAAATAGAAATCACACAAACCTTCCTTCCCTGAATTATCTTCAGAAATCTCAACGGAACCCTCCAAGTCATCATCCTTATTGGCATTTTTCATGACCTCATTTTCATGTGATTGTCCGTGATACAGTCTTCATCCTTCGGCCACTCTCTGGAAAAGCTCTCGGTAGTCTTCCTCAAGGTCGGTGTCCATAATTTCAATTCTAAGATCATTGAGAGCATCCTGATAGCGGACCCTTCCAATTCGCTGAAAGGTGCCTTTGATGTCATTCCAGTAGGAACTGAAGGTGGGATCATCAACTGAGCCACTAGCATCATTGCACAAGTGACATCAGCTGCTGGGGTGGCTCTGTTACCAGAGGGAGGTCATCCTGGCCAGAGGCGGGAGAGTCAGACCCCAGATATTCCTCAGACCAAGCACCACCAGTAGGGAGGTTTCAAGGTCTCTTGAGGAAACAGAAGATTGTAAAACAGGATACAGAAGATTATAAAGCAGGATACAGCTTGCGCCACTTGGAGGTACTCAGGTACATCAAACCTCAGGTACATCAAACCTCTTGAAGAGCTCGCTCTTGGAGCTTGAGAAGCTTTTCAAGGTACGATTTATATGCTTGACCCCAGGCCGTCAGACCATAGGTTAAATAAGGAGCAACAAGGGTTCGGTAAATAGTTAGAAGAGTATGTCTTGGCAGAAAATGGTGTAGTTTACAGATGAATCCTACAGTTCGACTCATTTTAATAGCTACGTGGTCAATATGAAGTTTCCAGGAAAGGTTATTGTCAATTATTATACCTAGGCGCACGAATTCTTTAAATTCTAGAGCCACATCCTTATTTTGATCGTTGTCGAATACCATTATTTTGGAGTAATAGGTAAGTTTTCTCTGAGTCTGTCTAAAAATTACGAAATTTTTTTTTTAATATTCAAGGTTAGTTTATTGGCCGTTAACCAATAGAACAACTTACAGTGTTCCTGATTTACAGTCGACTCTAGGGACTTGAGATTTTTGTCAGCATATACAGCATTCGTGTCATCAGCAAATAAAAAGAATTTAAGTTTTTCAGACGATTCTTGAATATCGTTGATATAGATTAAAAAGAGTAATGGGCCTAGGACAGAACCTTGCGGCACTCCGCAATTGGTATTTTTCGTTTAGATATAGAGGAACCAATTTGCGTCCTTTGAGTGCGACCTTCTTGGTAAGATGAGAACCATTTATTTAGAACACCACGAAAACCATAATGATCTAGCTTGTGCAAAAGAACTTTATGATCCACTGTATCAAAAGCCCTTTTCAGGTCAATAGAGCGTTTTCACTCACGTGACAAAATTTTCATATCGTCATGACAACCGAGTTCATCCGCCATATTGGTGTTCCATAACAAAGTGCGTGTTACTCGTGCTAACCAGCAGCTGGAACATTCTGTACTACATTCTAGCGTTCTTAGCGAAGAAATTTAATTTTTGTCATCATGGTCCTTTGCCACACATACACTTACACGCAACATACACGTACCCACATTTACTTACATATACACAAATGTACATATATGTACATGAAAACCACTCTCTCTGAGCATGTCACAGTACTGAGATCCTCTAGTCAATGATATCGACGGCTCAAGAAGTTGAGGCAAACGGAGGGGAGTCAGAGGGCCAGTACGACCATCTCGCGATAGGAGGAGCCGTTAGGAGCGCGAAATTCAAATTGCGATAGCCTAATTTTTTGAGTTTTGCAAATGAAGATCAGTATTTCTCCATTCGTCCCTTTTTAATCGTCAATAAAAACATTTTCAAGTGGAAATCAATTGAAACAAGACAAGGATATCGGTCATCGTGTACAAATCTCTTTTTCCCCCTTCACCTTCCATTAGTCAGCCATCTTCGATTAGCCATGGAAGCAAAGATTGCGTTACAAGACGGGGGAGGAGCTATCCCTTTTATAGTCAGGGTCCTTGTTTAAAGTTAGATAGTAAAGAAATAGGCCGATAATTGTTTGCGATAGTGTTATCTTCAGCTTTAAAGAGAGGAATAATTGCCATTTTTAGTTTACTGGGATACATCCCAGTAGAAATAGAAAGATTTGTTATTTCCGCGAGATTACTGCTGATAACATTTGACGAGTACTTCAACAGTTGAGTGAGACATGAATATAAACCATGGGTTTTATTAATTGGTGTGCACAAAATTTCCCATTCAACTTCAGCTGGGGTAACTAGGTTAAAGGCAAACGAATAGTCAGGAGAGTTGGATCTGCTTAGAAAATCAAAATAAATATGCTGAACGGCTGGTAGCTTATTTGCAAGTTTAGGTCCAACAGAAGCGAAATGGTCATTAAGGGCATTGGCTATTCTATTTGGGTCGCTAGTGACAGAATCATTGTTATTAGGGTCCTTAATAAAAGTAACAGGGTTTGTGTTCCTCAATTTACGTGTAAGTACATTGTTTATGCCTTCCCATCTTCTTTTCATATTATTTAAGTTATCATTAAAAAATCTAGGGTAATATTGCTGTCTACTTGGACGCGTTTAAGTACAAATTTTGTTTCTAGATATATTACAATTGGCGGCGTTACCAGGCGCATATAACTTATTTTTAATTCTAATGGAAATTCTTAGACCTTCGGTAATCCATGGTTTAGAGAATTGTTTTGCTTTGCGGTTTGACATTATTTTCATAGGTGCATGTTTATTTATTAATGTGTTAAGCTTGTTATGAAAAATAGTTAACACATCTTGTGTTAAACTATTTTCATTCCAAAAAATTAATGAAGCTGTCATTCACTCGGTCTTAGAGTTTACCGCTGGACTCGCTTACAGCGTGACAGTGTAAAACCTGTTTTGAGTGACACCCGTGAAAACATACTCCAGGTATCACCGCATCCTTCAGGGGCCATCTTGATTTTTAATCGTATTTTCTCAATAGTTCACACAGAATAAACGCGGTCACTCTCTACAGTTCGAGAGCAGTCTCAAGTTGTCCACAGAGATCTCCTCCGCCAAGGTTTTAAGGGCAATGTCCAATGGTGAAGCTAGGGCAACACGTTGAAATGAGTATAAATGAACGCCAAAAATAATTCCAAAGCCTCGAAGTATTCTATTTTGATCCATTTCAAACAACACTGCTCCAGAATCTCCTTTTTCGGGAAACGGTTCTTCACTCTTGATGCACAAGCAGTTATATAACCAGAGAGTGTCACACAGAGTTTGTGTGGCTTGTGAACAGTAGTTAAAACTGCTGGTTGAACTTCTTAATGCAGCAAATTCGGTCCTTCTCGCACAATGTACACAGAGTTTGACCTCTTGTAACACACTGAGCAAAGCTGGATTTCTACGATTCAATTTACAAAGGGAACAACTAGCGAAAAGATGATAGTCCACGAATCCGCTTGACTCAGTGTATCATGTGGTTCGGTCACTCTTGTGAAATTTCCCCTGGGCTTCTAGCCCTGAATTAACTTCACCACTTGGATTGTATCCTGTTCCAATCACTTCAACTGTAGGATTGATTTGTAATTGGTTTACCTCGTCTGCAGTCAACTCAGCAACCGCAGCATCTATGTAGTGTGTCTGACTGTACAAGGTGACATTACGAGACACACCAGCTGAGTATCGTCCAATGACCCTTGGTAACGCCTCAAGCCCTTCCTCGAATTTATTTTCATTCTTGTCTACTTTCTGTAGAATAGAAACATTTTCTGTGATGCGGTCACGGTACCTTTCTCTAAGTTCCTTTAGCTCTTCAAATCGCACTCTCAATTGGTCCTGCTCTGTTAGGTCGTCAACATCAAGTTGGTCTACCGGGATGTCCGTGTCAACGATTTTCCTCAACCACGATCCATACTCCCGTAAATGGTATTTGAGATAGTTTAGGTGGTCATTCTGCGCAGGATGAATGATTTTTGAACTACTCTCGCGTTTCATCACATGATGACAAGATAATGCAAAAAATTTATCTCCCCCTTTTACTACGGCGCCTAAGATCCCGGCGGAGTCCTCGCCTTGTACACCAATGCTTGCTCCTAGGCGAAGCACCTCGCTGTTTTTTTGTGCCTCGTTTGGCTTCCAGGGTCCAATGGTTCTAAACCAAAATCCATCTACAACATCTATGGGGTAAGAACCAAGAAAAAGCGGAAAGTCACATTTACCGTCTGGGATGACACCTTTGCGTAGAACATAGAGTGTAATGCAAGGGGTGTCAGTCTGTTTCGAGTTTGTGATTTTTAGAGACGGTTGCACAGAAGTGATATTGCGATGCCTGACTAAAACGTGAAGGTTGTCGCGTATTGCTTGGCTGATTTCACTGGCCTGAGATTTAGTCAAACTTTGTGGTGTACCAGATGGATACTCAAGAGACCTGATCTTGAGAATTCTATCGGCATCATTAATAAGATCTAACCATTCAAGCGTCACGTCCATCTCTCCAAAGCATCCTTGAGCAGCATTTTGCAATTCTTGAGGAATTCCAGACTCCCCATATTGCACATACAACTGAACCTTGATGTTAACGCCACTTTCTGTGTATACCAAGACACGCACCAATTCTTCATGTTCTGCTTCAAACTTCATCGCTGTCGCAACAATGTTGTCTTGTTCTTGTTTAGTTGCTCGGGATGAAAAAAAGCTGCCGGCGGAGGATGCGGAGACACCTGCCTTACCTTCCGTTAATGTAAAAGAAGGATGTCCCAGTTCTAAATTGGAAAAAAAAA